TGTAGGTAAAAGAGAAGATGTTTTCTTATTTTTAATACCTTTAAATAAAACTATCAAAAATAGTAAAAGCGTAGTGTGAATTTTATAATACATGAAGTAGTAAAATATATTCAACAATGGCACAAAGGTCGGGGGAAGGAAATGAAAGTACACTTTTTAAGGTTAATACACAAAAAGTGAGTGATGTAATATCTCTTACAGACAATGAAAAGTTTAAGATGTATATGATAAACTATAAAATAATCACTAAAATACCACAACAGAGTTGTAGCTAATAAGCCAACAAAAAGGATAAAATTAAATCATAAAAAATGCTGAATTAAAAAAATATGGCAGAAAAAAGGAAAGAATGAGCAATGAACAAATAAGAAAAATAGAAAACAAATAGCAAGATGTTAGATTTAAACCCAAAGACATACAGTAATACCTCAAAGATACTGTAGGTTCAGTTCCAGACCACTGCAATAAAGCAAATATTGCAATAAAGCATTTCACATAACGTTTTTGGTTTCCCAGTGCATATAAAAATTATATTTGTAAAAAAAAATTATATTTGTACTATACTATAGTCTGTTAAGTGTGAAATAGCATTATATCTAAAAAAGTGTATTGTGTTGGCCAAAAAGTTCATTTGGCTAATGAATATGTTGCTAGATAAAGTTCTTGATGAAAATGAAAAACTGTGTCTTTTATTTTTACTTAAAACCAAATGAACTTTTTGGCCAACACAATACATACTTAAATTTAAAAATTCTTTATTGGTGAAAATGCTAACCATCATCTGAGCCTTCACTGAGTCCTAGTAGTAACATCAAAGATCACTGATCACAGATCACCAAAACAAATATAATAATAGCAAAAAAGTTTGAAATATCATGAGAATTACCAAAATGAGACACAGGGACACAAAGTGAGCAGATGTTTTGGGAAAATGGTGCCTATAGACCTGCTCAACTCAGGGTTGGCACAAACCTTCAATTTGTAAGAAATGCAGTATCTGCAAACTGCAATTAAGGAAAGCTCAATAAAATGAGGTATGCCTGTAAATATATATACGTTACACGTACATGATTTAGGATTGGATGAAAAAGACAATTATATGCTACCTAAAATAAATCCACTTTAAATATAAAAGCACAAATAGGTTAAAGTAGAAGGATGAAAAGTAACATAGCATTCTAGCAGTAATTTTAAAAAGCTGGAGTGACTTTGCTATTAATATTTGGCAAAATAAATTTGTATTTCTTGTAAATAAATTTTAAAGCAAAGAATGTTACCAGGAATATAGAAAGTAATTTCCTAACAATAAAGAGGTCAAGTCACCAATTCATCAAGAACACATAAAAACCCTAAACATTTATCCATCTAAGTAAGAGAGCTTCAAAATACATGATGTAGAAACTGCTAGAACTACAAGAACAAATAAACTAACCTACAGTAACAGAGATTTCGACGCTCATTTTTCAAATTGACAGGGCATCAATGTGGACACTAGACGACTTGAAAAAGTGATCAACCAACCTGCCCTAATTGGCATTTGTACAAGACTTCACCCAAGAAGAGGAGAACACACCTCTTTTGCAACTGTCCAAGGAATATTTACCAAAATAGATTCATATCTGGGTGCTATGGTCTTCGAAAGGTGATTAGGTAGGTCGTGAGGGTAGATTGCTCATGAATGGGATTAGTGCTTCTATAAAAGCAGTCCCACAGAGCTCCCCACCCTCTTCCATCATGTGAGGACACAGCAAGAGGGCACAGGCTATAAACCAGGAAAAGGGCCATCACCAAAACCTGACCATTCTGGTGCCTTGACCTTGGACTTCCCAGCCTCCAGAACCGTAAGCAATGAATTTCTGTTGTTTATAAGCTACCCAGTCAATAGTATGTTTTCATAGCAGCCCAAATGGACTAAGACACTAGGTTTATTCATTTTCTATTGCTGTAGTAACCAATTAACACAGTGTTAGTGGCTTAAGACAATTCATATTTACTGTCTTATAGTTCTGTATGTTAGAAATCTGAGAGAGGTTTCAGTGGACTAAAATCAAGGTGTCAGCAAGGCTGCATTTCTTTTTAGAGGTTCTAGTGAAGAATCTGTTTCCTCAACTTTTGCAGCTTCCAGAGTCTATATTCCTTGGCTCGAGCCCCCTTCCTCCATATTCAAAACCAGTAATGTTGCTTCCCTCTGACCATTCTTCTGTAGGCACATCACCCTCTGACCCTGACCTCAGCCAAAAATGGTTACATTAAGATTCATGTAGTTAGGTTGGTCCACCCCAGTAACTCAGAGTAATCATCTTAATGTCCTAAACTTAATCACATCTTCAAAGTCCTCTTCGTCCATGTAAGATAATATACCCACAGGTACCAGAGATTAGGACGTGGTAACCTTTGTGGAGCCATTATTCTGCCAAAAACACTGGACCATAAGTCTCAATAAATTTTTAAAATTCAAATCAAAAAAAAATTCAGATCATTCAAAATATATTCTGCGACTACACTGGAATTAAATTAGAGATAAGTGACAGAAGCATTTCTAGAAATTCTCTAAATAGTTGGAAATAAAATATCCCACTTTTAAATACCCCACTGATCAAGGAGGAAATCAAAAAGGAAATTAGAAAGCATTCACCTTAAGACATCAGAAAAAGAAGAGCAAATTAATGTCAAGGAAGCAAAAGAAAGGGAGTAATTAGAGAGAAGAAATTAATGAAATAAAAAATAGAAAAATAAATGAAATTGATAACTCTCTAAGCAGACTGACCAAGAAAAGAAAAAAGGAGAGGGGAAACTAATTACCAATACCAGGAATTAGATGACATCAGTGGATGATATGTGAATATTGTTAAAAATCTTTTGCCAATAAATTCTACAAATTAGATAAAATGGGAAAGACACAACTGAGAGACACAAATGGACAGAGCTCGCTCAAGAAAAAATAGATAACCAGAAAAGCTCTCAATCTATTAAGGAAATTAAAGTTGTAGTTAAAACATTCCCATAAAGAAAATCACAAGTTCAAATTCATTCAATGTTGAATTCTACCACAAATTTAAGAAGGAAATAATATGGATTCTATATCAATTTTTTCAGAAAATTACACAGGAAGGAATACTTCCCAATTTATTTTATAAGGCCAGCAGTACCATGCTACAAAGTCAACAAGATTATAATAATAGAAAACTACAAACTAACATGCCTCATAAACATAGGTACAGAAATTCTTAAAATTTTAACAAATCAAATGCAACAATATATTAAAGGTATAATACAAAATGACTAAGTGGAGTTTACCCCTGATTAGTAAGGATGGTTAAACATTCAAAAATCAATGTAATTCAATTCTATTAGCAAACAGATCTCAATTCAAATAATTTTACTATTTTACGTTTAAAAATGGAAAGTTTATTACAGTTCTGTAAACAAACACACATACTCATCTGCCTTAATATAACATATCCCATAGGACTAATGTGATGATTTTACTCAAAGACTAAGAACTGGGCTCTACCTATCTTGACCATCACGGTTATTTTCCACATTTTATTATTTTGGGAGAGTAGGATATTTTAACTTCATTATTCAAATTCTGGTTTGGCTTCCAGAATATATTACTAGTATGATCTCAAAAGAAAATCCAATTTAGAAAGTTAATTTCTAACCATTAAATATTCATGAACATTCTAAAGTAACTGTGTAATTTGCTTAAAAATAGAATTAGATAACCATGAAATAAAGGGCAGGAAACAATAAAAAATGTAACAATTCTTTCAATTTTAATTACTATTTAATAAGCTCAAGGATGAGCCCTTTTGTTACCTTCAATCATAATCTGAATGAAACAAGTGAAATCCGATTAACATTTCTATATAAATCTTAGAAAATGAAATGATATATCCAGCATCCTCAAAGTCAAAATTCTAAAAACCTACAAGGAAATATTTCTGGCATTCTTTTTTTACTATATTAGCATCTAATTCAATCACAATGAAGAAGTAACTTTATCAAATTAATTTCTATTACTATTTACTGAGTAGTAATTTGTACTAATATTTCTTGAACAGGTAAGTAATTTCCTTAACTTAGACATGGAATCAACCTTACAATAAGAATTTTTCCAGCAAATAAGTGATTTTTACAAATCACTCAGTGCTCTCACAAATCACATAGAAATTAATATAAATAAAACATGCAAAATTTTCTATATAAAAGAAGAGTAAATGATCTGTAATTTTTTAAAGATTATAAAACATAATGGCTCAGCACAGAGCTTGGCACACGTGAGCTATTTAGTAAACTAATTTGAATTCATTCTAATCAAACAATCATAAAAGGATGAATAAATAAATCCCAACATTAAAACACAGACTTTTTCTTTTATAAAAGCGTAAATTAAGTATGACCTTGACTATTTCAACATAGAAAGAACATCCTAAATGTTCCTAGCAATAAATCAAAAGCCTTTAGCAGCCTATCACTAAACACAATGAAAATGAAATATACAACATATATAGAGTAGATAAAGAAATCAATAGTGAAAGGTAGTGAGCCTTAAAGAATTAACTATTAGGTACTGCTAATCCTAAATTTTTAATGAAGGTTTGAATTATGTTCAGTATATAATAAAGATTACTAAACACAGCAAATGATTTAAAGTTCGACTGTAAGAAAAGAATATCTATTTGACCCTCAAAGAATAAAATTAATCAGAAAATACAAACAATGTAGTTATTTCAAGTTTTGATGCATTTTTAAAGAATATAATCTCAATGAAAATTAGTACATTCTTTGGTTAATTCAATATTATTTGTGTAAACGTTTTTTACGAAGACATTCATCATCACAGACATTCACTGTATCCTTTGTATGGAGGGTCAATACTTGTTTTCATATTGCTCAAAATATACAAATCTTTATCACCTCTTTGAACAAAAACAGCATTCTTTTTGTAATGAAAATACTCAGTGGTCATTAGATTAAATACTATTAACACTTACCTGTATTTTAATGGGCCATGAAAAGTTGCTGACGTACACATAGAAAGTAATGTTTGGATTGCTTCTAAAGTTAAATTTTTCATAGGAAAAACTATCTCTGTATTCTTTTATATTAGTCTTGGAAACTATAGGAGTCTCCTCCCCAGATATTGTTCCAGCTAAAATGTAAATAATAATAACAAATTTAAATAATTAATATTAGGAAACAGGTATCTTTATTAACATAATATATACATATATATGATATTTACTTAATTTTTGTAACTATACTTATAAGAACATAACTATCCAAATAAAGTCATGTTTTACAACTTAGAATGATGAAGAAAAAAGAAAATGAGATTTGTCATACATATTGATATAATGGAAACAGATTTAGTATAAAAATTATTTTTTACAATGATTAAGTGATACACTGATTAAGTGCTACGTACTAGGCACTGGCTTAGAGACTTTATATTCTATTCTAAAAATAAATTTATCCCAGAGATATTCCAGCTCTGTTTTTCAAACTGAAAACTGAGCCTCAGAAAGATTAAGACACTTGCCTTAAGTTTATAGCTACTGAACAGTAAAGTCCTTTTTGGAACTCAGGTATATAAGGCTTCAGAAACTGAGTTTTTTCTACTTCTCCACAGAGCCTTTCAAAACAAATCAGGACATATTTCACATGTCTCAATCCAATTTAAAAACGGAAAAGAAATCAAATTTTTTTGTTTACCACAAATTGAACCACCACTACTTTGAATAAATTGGGAGGATATAATTTAAAATATGAGTTAAACGTTCAATTAGTTAAACACATATTGGGTACTCAATAAATATTTACTGAAATTAACCAAATGGAAGAAAGAATTTCCAACAATCTTACCAAGACCTCCACCTTAACAGTAAAAATAAATAGGATACTGAGCAACTGAATTAATTTCTAACTGATGACCTCTTCCAAAATAACCTTGGATGCTTTTTTAAAATGCAGATTTCCTGATGACATCTTCCAAACTGATAAATCAAAATTTCTGAGATTTGGTTCTGGGAATCTGAAGGTTACAAGTGATGTCTTGCATATTAAAACCACTGTTCTAAAGTGATTACACAGGTTTTATGTATTTATGTTGACAAATTTTAAAACTCTTGTAGAGTCAGTTTATTATTCAGAATTTCAAATTTACAGTACAAGTTATCATGAATTCTTATTAATGAAACTCACAGAGCCAAGATTTCACTATATGTTTGCACTATTGGAACAAAATATCTACATAATTGTCTAATCTTTTCCACTTTTACACATGTAATATAAAATCTGGAATTGCAAAGACCTCTTCACTCTTGACTTCTGTTTCCATTATTCTACATATTAAAATAGCATAATAACCTAATTTTAAGAAATCAAATATGGATTTCTAAGGATCCACATATTTTATTTAAAAAGCTTCCAGCACTTTTATGCAACAGTGTATCTTTTACATAGAAAGTAGAAAGCAATAGAATTTCCTAAAATGTAAATATAAAACGGTGAGAATACTTTTTCATAATACAGCATACAGATTTGTACTTCTTCTTAGTTATGTTCCTTAAAAGTTAACAATTTCAACTTATAAACCTTATTATGGAAGAACTATTAAGTGCAGGGGTTTTTTACCCTCTCTCAGCACCAAAGCTGACAAAGGTAGAGGGTAAGCTTAAAAATAATAGATAATTTGGTAATTTATCAGCATATACAGAAAAAATTCACTGTCTTATATCAATAGTAAAGTCAATAATTAAATTTATAGCTTCAATGGTGAATCAAGTAATTGAAATTTCAGCCTCTTTAGTCATTAAAGAAGTAATCTATCTTAATTAAAATCACAGGAATTCATAACACTGTCATAAAAAAAATTGAGTAGTGTAAAATGTTGTTATCTACCTAATTTTAACTGAATTAGGGAGAAAGTTAACACTGTAATGAAGCTTTATTAATAATGCTACTTATTATTTTTACCTGAAACAGCAGGTATTATTATATGCATAATTATGGCATATAGTATATATATGCCATATAATATTTTTTAATTTCAATTATTTAAATTAACATAAAAGGTCATAGAACACCCTACGTATAGGAACAGAAGTGAAAGACACATGACAACAAAATTCTCTTACCTGTTGAACCAACTGACCATGTAATGTTGAGATTAAAGTTGTTTGATGCATTAATTGAAATATCCAAATTTTTGTTTGACTGCCAAGAAAGAAAATATTGTGGTTAAAAAAATCAAATTATACTAGATAGATATGTGTACTGTTTTAATTATGTCCATGCTATATTTCTCAAACTGTAAACATCATGTCAATACTCAAGAGAGAAAGTGTCGACGCCAATTACACTTTTTTAATGAAAAAATATAGGTGATAAATTCAAAGGTATATTTAAAGTTCCCATTTATCTTCCCTACTATGATCTGGCCATCCCTATGTAAGCCAGAGGCTGCTACAATTCAATATTTTAGCAATTGTGGCTTCGTATTAATCAAGTCAGGTTCATGAGGCAACAAAATGAGTTTATAAAGACTGTGCATCATTGAGTCAGGCGACCTGGGGTTCAAATCTTAGCTCTTTAATGTACATGCTGATTGATATAGGGAAGGTTACCTCTCCTTCCCGAAAATCAGTTTCCTTATCTCTGAAATGGGGATTTCATGACTTTCCTAAAGACTTTCTTGTGAACATTAAATAAGATTCTTCATCTTCTTCCTTACCAGGGGACTTCCTTCCACGAATCAAGAAGGCATGATTGCTGACCTCTGAGAAGGGGTTGATTTTTTTATTATTAATGGAGTGGTTCAAAAATAGTTGCTTTTCTACAAAAACAAAACATGGTAGAAACAATGTACCCCTAAGAAAACTTAAATCATTATTTTTATCTTGAAGTCACATCTTCATGATTGTGTGTGCCTTATTTTGGGTCAGGGAAATGTGAGAATAACTGGTATTATTGCTAGAAAGGTCACACAAAATTTGCAACTGATATAGGAAACTATAGAACTCTTCTTGAATTTTCAGTTCATCCTCTCAAGTTTAGGCATTACTGAAATATGTGGTACCATAACTAAAGCCCTATAAAATACATTTAAGGTCAAGGAAATATACTGGACTGGAAGAGGTAATACTGTGACTACCACAGTAAATGAAAAATTAGTCATTTAGAACATTATTGTTAGATGTGGATAAATTCAGCAAGATATTATACAAGAAACTACTCCAGAAATTGTTCACATGAAAGCATTGGCTGGAGATGATGTACAGCGGGTTAGAATTATATCTGTTTTCAAAATATAATAAATGCATAAATAATGTAGGTACCTATTTTTTTATTTTTTTGTAGGATAAGTAGGAAACCCAGACCAATAATCCATTTTAATTTCAGAAATTGTTCCAAGTTGAATTCCTCTTTAATTATAAATTGTATAAATATAATTATAAATTAGTTATAATGATGTTACAAGCATCCTTGCTGGCACTTCTCATGATAGTTTAGTGTCCTTCAGTTTCCAAAAACATGTGTCTGGGCTCTTGGCTTCAACTGAACAACACAGCAGAAAGTAAAACTGAAAGCTGTGACATTTGTGAGAATTCAAGTTTTTCTGGAAATTGAAGGAGGAGAGGATAGCCAAGAGAGAAGCAAACCAGAATTATGGCTAATCTGAGCCTATGTGTATGACATTATGGATCATATTGGAGAGAAGGATTACTCACACCCACATTGTGAGTCAGATATCCCACTTATATTAAATGTCTTATATCCTCAATGAACTCTATAAGTACCATTAAACATTCAAGAAGCCAAAGGTAAAGACTAAATTCTGATTCATGCTGCAACATGGATGAACATTGGAAACACTGAAACATTAGGCTAAGTGAAATAAGCCGAACACGGAAGTACAAATGTTGTATGATTACACATATGAGGTACCTGGAACACAGAAACTGATCGAGAATGACAGAGAAAGTAGAATAAAGGTTACCAGAGGCTGGGGGTAGGGGAGGAATAGGGAGTTATTGCTTAATGGATACAGAAATTCTATTTGGACTGATGAAAAATTTTGATGATGGATTGTGGTAATGGTTGCATAACACTGCAAATGTACTTAAATGTCACCAAATTGTATACCTAAAAATGGTTAAAATTATAAATTTTACTTTACGTATGTTTTACCACAATAAAAAAGAAGTCTACAGTGTTTACAAGGCACTTACTAAAACATTCTTATTATACAGAAAATGTAGTTTCTGACATTAATATGTCTTTATAAAAATACACACCATCAGTGAAGAGAGTATTATGCTTGTAAGAAGACATCCTCAAAAAGCCTTATTTAAAAGTCAAAACTTTAAATGTAGTCCCAAGAATGTAGGCATCCCTTAAAATCTAAGGAATAAGGAGTATTTCCCTATTTTGGGGAAAGAGGGCTCTTACTTTATTAGAAAATGAAAATTTAAATTATACTATTTTTTGGCAAGTTCAGTAAAATATTTTAGAGGAAAGAAGATAGCGAATGCCAGGATACATTTTGAGGTTTCACCTATTTGAAAAACTATTAAAATATATGATACAGATTTAGTAAGCTGGATTAATGTATACTAAGAATACAGCATTTGAGAAAGAGTGACATCAGCAAGATGGTGGTATAGGAAGTCCCAGCGCTCATCCCTGACAAAAAGAAAACAATTTAACAATGATAGATGGACCAAAACACTTTTTTGACAGGACCAAAATCCAGTTAAGAAGTTGCAGGACAAAAAAATGAATACAAAACTGAGAATAGCCACATTATAATGGGTAAAAAGAACAATGTCACTTTACCAAGGTCAGCACCTCCCCCAAGCCAGCACAGCTCAACATCAGAAAGATCAACTTGGCCAATGACTGCTCCCTCAGGGGAAAGAGAGAGTGTAGGATATATCCAACATGATTGTCCTTTAATTGTACTGCCCAAAGGACCTATTTCTGTCTCCACTATGACAGAGAGCACTGAGAGAACAAGCATGTGTGGACATCTGACATCAGCTAAGAGAAAACAAACAAAATGTGGGTGGCTCACTAGAGCCAACATGACTCAGAGAGATTGGGAGAAGGTGCACAACCCTGAGAACTTCTCCCCCAGAAGAAGTTGTTAAAGGGTACAAACTTGCAGAGTAGGTAAATCCTAGAGATCTAATGCACAATATAGTGATTATAGACAACAAATACTGTATCATAAACTTCAAAGTTGCTAAGAGACTAGATTTTAATTATTGCCCCTCAAAAATTACAATTATGTGACATGACAGAGGTGTTAGCTCATGCTATGTTTGTAATCATATTGTAATATATGCACATATTAAATCAGCATATTATACAGTTTAAACTTACACAATGCAATATGTCAATTACATCTCAATAAAAATATTTTTTTAAAACCTAGCATTCATATAACTCAGATAAAACAGTTGATTTAGAAAAAATATAATGAAAACATACTACTATGTAACAGTATATTTTTAAAAAAAGAAAATATATATAAGATAGCCTGTGTTTTGAAGCTTTGGGTTATATTTTCAAAAAGACTACTCCCAGTTTCAGAACGTAATTAAAAGCATAAACACTGTTGTAAGCCTGAAAAATAATAGAAATAATGCATAAATTGTAGGACTATTTACAAAATCTGAAATATCAAGCTCACAAATTCTGTGAATCACAAAGATAACTAGGTCTTACGAAAAGAAAAAATTAACAGGATTAGTCTTTCTACAAAAGCCCTACAGTGTGATAATTCTGAGAAGAGGTACAATTACAATGAAAGATGATGAAAAGCTGTATCCATTGATATTTTAAAAGTTAAATTATCTTCTCACCTGTTCTGGGTTTGCTATGAAGTTTATGGCAGTATGATGGCGATCATCTTCCTGTAATAAGCTGAATGTAAACTGATAATCAATCAAAAGGCTGTCTGTAGGGAAAAAAAATACAATCCTGATATGTACTTTTAAAAATTGACAAAAGTTAGGTGAATATATATTGCACATCAGATTTGAAAATTATTATCATTAATTCTTAGTGGCCTATTCAAGACTGGCAAACTATAAATCTTTGTTATCAAGCAACAAAAAGCAAAATATAGATATGAAAGTAGTCCTAACGCTTCAAAATTCTATTTATTACTTCTCTTGCTATTATAAAGGTTCTACAAACACTGTAGTCATTCTGGAAACTACACAAGAGAATAAAATAAAGTCATCCACAATCTTACAATCAGAGAAAAATACAGCTATCACTTTGGTGCATTTTATTCCAGTTATAATTCTGTAGATAGAAAGACAGGGAGACATTTTGGTATCCTAATTTCATAAAATCAAAATTCTTTGAAAACATGAATTTTAATAGCTAAATAATATTTCATCACATGCCATAATGCATTTACTTGGACCTATTATTGTAGTAATTTTTACTTTCAGCAGTTTTTAAATGACTCTGTGATAAGTATCATTCTACAAAAGTGACTCTTATTAACAATTGGTAAAAAGAATTCAGTGGTAAACATTTTTAAATTTTGTCCATGTATAATAATACTGAAACCAAGGTGAAACATTTAAATGTTATAGGTCATGAATAGCTTCACGTGTTGTGAGTGAAGTATCACTCATAATGTTAAACTGCCACCTTTTATGGATCAGAAAATAAAGGATCAGAAAATAAAGGAATTAAAACATAATTCTGAACCAGTTCATGTAGGTCAAATCTGAAAAAGCCTCCCAGAATAGAACAGAGATGAAAATCACTGAAGAGGAATATTAGACATACAAATTTTCAACATATGCAGGGAAAGTGTTATTAAAAGCAGACAATCATAACAAATTGAAAGGAGCACATATATGTTAAATATATGATAAAAAATCTGTTGAAGATTCAAACCTAAATGTTAAAAGGAAATGCCCTGCATAAAAGATAAAAAGATATTATTTGGCCATAAAGAAGAATGAAGTACTGATACCTGCTATAACATGGATGAACCTTGAAAACATTATGATAAATAAAAGAAGCCATCACAAAATCTACATATTCCATGATATCATTTATACGATATTTCAGAGTAGACAAATCTTTAAAGAGAGAAAAAAGGTTGCCCAAGGCTAGGGGAAAGGAGAATGAGGAGTGGCTGATAATATGTACTGGGTTTCTCTTAGGAGTGAGGAAAATGCTATAAATTAGATAGTGGTGATGTCTGCACAACCTTGTGAATATACTAAAAAAATCACTGAATGTACACTTTAAAAGAGTGAGACTTTAGGTATATGAATTATATCTCAATAAAGTTGTTATTAAAAAAATAGACATTCAGGCATATCCATATGGGCATGTGCACACATGCGCGTGCGCGCACACACACACACACACACACACATATTCATACAAACAAATTAGTTATTTAGAAAGCAAGATTAGGCAAGATGCTAGGTGATCTTGAGTAACAACATGTCAAAAGACAAGAAACTGAAGCAATATTTTATGAAATATATATACTCAACCATCCCGTCTACATAGAAAAACAACATAATGATAACTCCACATAAGCAAATGCCCTAAAATATAAGATCTACATACTCATCCTGAAAAAAAATTATTTATACAAATACTACAACTAAGAGACAAATACAGATATGGAAATAGCATAGCAAAAAGGTCTGTCAGTGAACAGATGACAGATTTCAAGTTAGAATAAAAGAAGAAAACAAAGTTAACTTTCTTATGTCTAAAATCAGATTGTTGACAAAGAAATATAACACAACTAAAAAGCTACTAAAATAATAAAAAATTTCAGTATGTGGCCAGATATAATGTAAAAATATAAATACCTACAGTTCTTATTTGGGGGCTATTTTAACACAAAAAACCCACACCACCTTAATTGCTATAACTATATAGTCAGCCCTAACATCTAAGATCTCCAGACCACTTTCAATGTATATCCTCTGCTTATAATAAAGCTGTCCTGAGAGTACAGAGTATTCGAGTCCTATAAGCCTTCTTGGAACTTGAACACAACGTAATTAATGCATAATTAAAGTACACGCAGAAATTGAAATCAAGAATGATGTCAAGAGAGATAACAGGCAGGTGAAAAAGTATTAAACGGATAGAAGATTAAATGGGCCGCACAGGATTTCAGTGCAAGGCAGCAACAAGGAGAGGTAAAATATTGCTTCAAAGGAGATGAAATTTTGCAGTGAGTAAAGAAAAGCGGTTATTTGTCAAACTCAAAGGAAGAAAGGTTGATACTATTTCTATGTCTAGATTCTAAGGGGTCGATACTGGGAAAGAAAAAACAGTCAACACTTCCCCCAAAGAAGAGTCACATTTCAGGATACAAGTTTCTGTTAAAGTAAGATAGTAGAGTTTCAAAAAGAGAGTAATAATATACTTGGTGGTTTAATTTAAAAAATAATAACATTTTTTAAAGGAAAGAAAGATTAATGCCCCAGAACCAAGAAGCATACTTAGCTCCCAGGTTCTTCTTTCTAAACACCATTCTCCAATATAAGGAACCATGGCTTCTTGGAAAAATGGTTGATTACAGGGCTAGGGCTGGAAAGTACAATATGAGTCTGAAACTTCTTATAGTGTCAGAAAATAAGGAAGTACTCAGAGAATGATAGAGTCTTGCCAAAACAACAAAGGAGACAATTTGAGGGAGTTCCCGATGGCCAAATCTAGAGCAATTTCAGCTGTAAAATAAATAACAATAGCAATTTATCATAAGCCACAATATGTGTGTGTGTATCTCCATGGGTCCGTACTGATAAACACAAATAAGTGAATAAACAAATAAATGAAGAAGAGACAGCTCTTCCTTATAGTTAATAAACTGTAGAGGAAACAGAAGAAATAACAGAATAGAAAATCACCATTTGGCAAGAACATCAATGTATGGTAAAAATAGTGGGTGATAGTATGGTGAGAAATAGGACATTTACACAATTTTAAAGAACTTCCCCATAATACACTCACTAAATACAATAAAAACAGTAACTTTAGAGTGGAAAAACTGGTAGACATTGTGCATTAACAAGCGACCAAAGACAACACCACCAATAATGGAACAAAATGATATCATATGCTTCCCGACAGGATGCACTGAGAAAAAACACACATCACTTCTGTGGTATCCTTACTAAAAATGCATAACCTGAATTTCATCATGAAAAAACATCAGACAAAACCAAATTGAGGGATATTCTATAAAATAACTGTCCAATACTTTCCAAGGGTCAAAGTCATAAAAAAATGTGCACATTTTTTGTAAATCTGAAATTATTTCACATGGAAAATTTTAAAAGAGCTTTTAAAAAAGCTGCCTATATGTCCTCAAGTTTCATTCATGTCATATATTACAGGATTTCCATTCAACCGTCAATGAACATTTAAGCTATTTCTACATCTTGACTCTATTAAACAGTGTGGCAATGAACACTGTAATGCTATTATCTCTTCAAGATCCTGATTTCAACTCTTTTGGATAAACATCCAGAATGATATTGCTGGAGCTCAGTGAAATAAAACAGTCACAGAAGGACAAATACTGCATAATTCTACTTATATGAGGTATCTAAAATAGTCAAGCCCATAAAATTAGAGAGTAGCAAGATGGTTGCCATGGGCTGAGAGGAGGGGAAAAACAGGAGTTGATAATCAACAGACATAAAGTCTCAATTATGCAAGGTGAATAAAAATTTGTTGAGGATAGATTTCATGTCAAAAATAAGATAATTTTTATTTGATTTTAAAACTGCCAATATGGAAAAAAACAATGAATAAAATTAATTTAAAGGTATGATATGTTGGTAGTTACAAGAGAACAGATGACATACCTAAAGATATTAAGGACAAATTAAAGAAAAATAATTCTGAGAAATATTTCCTTTGTCATGCGATGTTTGGAAAAGAAATAAATACACTAAAAGTGTATATTAGCTTCTTATTGCTGCTGTTACAAATTACCAGAAACTTAGTGGCTTAAAGCAACATGAATTTATTCTCTTATAGTTCTGTAAGTCTGAAATCCAAATGAGTCTTACAGGGTAAAACCAGTGTTAGGGGTGGTTCCTTCTGGAGGATATTCAAAAAGAATCCACTTCCTGCCTCTTCCAGCTTCTGAAGACCTCTCATTCTTTAGCTCATGACCCCTTCCTTCCTCTCTTTCCAACCTCTTCCTTCCATCATCACAGTTCCCACTACTGTAGTCAAATCTCCCTCTGTACCCTTTCAGAAGAATGCATGTAATTATACTGGGTCCACCAGAATAATCCAGGAAAATCTCATCTCAAAAATCTTTAATTGAATCATATCTGCAAATCCCCTTTTACCATTTATGGTAATATATTCACAAGTTTCAGGAATCAGGATGTGGACTTCTTTGGAGGGGGAGGCCATTATTCAGCCTACTACAGCGTCATTACATAGACAAAAGACTGGGAAAGTATCGGATACAATGTTACCAATAATTTTCTCTGGATAGAAGAATTTCAGTGATTTTTAATTTGTCTTTTTGTCTATTTCTTTTCTAGAATGAAACACACATTACTTCCATAACTGGGGCCAAAACGGGGGAAATTTGTTAAAAGAAGTGTTCAGAGAACTTTTTTCTTTTGATCCTTGATCTTTAATGTGTTTTTCACATGACTTACACTTACATGTTAAGAAATCAGATTTATATGGTTGTATATCTTTCCAGAAATGGCATATCTAATTCCTAATTCACTTATTTCTTAGGTATAGACAAATAAAAACATGTAAAATAATTAGTCTCTCTGCCTAGTCTTCTCTGGCTAGAGCAAACCAAGGGTGAAGTTCCAACATGCAACAGCAGACTTTTTTAGGTAGTTCAGTCAATACTGGACTAGCAGTCCTGGAGCAAAAAAAAAAAAAGTGGCTGCTATTCACCACAAAGAATTA